CCCCATAACTCATTCTTGATACTGAGAGAATCTCTGTATACAAACCTGGCAAATTTTTTAAAAACTACTAAAACAAAGCTTTTGAAAATAAAGCTAGCTCAATTCATGTAATGTCAAATAACTTTCAATTAATAATAGCATCAATTATATTCTTATAATGCTTTATAGCATATTTTAACCCTAATGAGAAAATGCACCAAAATCCTAGTGCTAACCCTGAAACCTTAATCCAAACCGTACGAGTTAAAGACTAATCGTTGGTCAAGAGGGAAAGGATGGAACCATGCACTGTCTAAAGGGCAAAGGAAAATCGACAGCAAGATGGCAGAAATGTTGAACCCATGGGTACAAACAAACTTTTCTTTATAAACAAACAAAACACACACAGAAATTACAATTACAACACAACCATCTATATTCTCTACTAGCTGGTGAATCTGTTATTAAAATTTGAAAGAAAAAAACAATTTAAGTTTTTTCTATTTTAATCTATAAGAAATAATCAGTAACAGATAAATAGAGCATTTGTTGCATATTAATGAATGTGTGGCTTCTTGTGCTTTCCATCTGAATTAGGAGTAAAAACCCCCAATTACTTTATTTTCAATGAGATATAATTGTAAAGTAATACTAAACATCTACACAAAATCAATCCTTTCTTCAGCCCAATTCTATACGAAAAGTAGTAACAAATAGTGAAGATTCATGATATTGTGTCAAAATGCTGACTCATAACAATGTAGACTTAGCTATAGATTTTTAATTCACAAATATATATATATATATATATATACGCGCCTTGTGTATGACAACTGTACGAAAATAGTCTCAAAAATAAAGACAATACTTGAGACACGAAGCAACCCATTTTCCCTGATCTTGCATCCTATCACAGGGAAAATAAATCTCTGATGCTTCATAAATACTTTAAAAAGTTCGGGATCGCCTTCACCATGCATAGTCTTCACTGATGCTCTGAAGCCTCCAACGTTTCAGGCTGACTGTTCAACTCTGGAAGAGCTGTGACCTGTAATTAGCCTTGCTTATTTATGCCCAGTCTTCTCTAGATCTGGGAGTTTTCTGACCAGAGCCTGGTGGTTCATTCTGATGCTAGCAAGGAGCCCTCCTTCAATGCCGTCGGAACCAGTGTAACTGATTTCTTCACCACTCAGGGTGGTCATATGCCCCCCAAGGGCTTTTAAGATGGCATTGCCAGCACATATATCCCACTTTTTGATGTATGTCACATGGATATATAGATCAGCTTTTTCTTGACTCTTATCAGGCACATCCAAGAGCGCTAAAACTTTATAACCTAAAAGATAAACACAGAACGTAAGTCACTAATGGAAAGATTTAAAGACAGCAGCTGACTTTCTTGAGTACATTGTTAAAAATAACAGCACAGAGTGTGCAGGAGCTTTCGTACTATCTTTGCAACTGCTAAGTCTAAAATTATTTTAAAATAGCTTTTTTTAAAGTAATAGCACAGACATTAAACCCAAATGAGCAAAAAATATACTGCAAAGTAACTTATTAAGCTATTCTCAAGCATAACCAAATATATGCCTATAATTTTTTAAATTTAAATCTACTTTGTGGCTGTTTTCTATGGAATGACGCATTCAGTATGAATCATTTCCTATGGAACATTATACTGAAGCTAAACACCCACAGGTTTGACTTGAGGATCTAGGAAGGCTGGATCTGAAAGATGAGACACAAAATAACACTACTATCTTAAGTCTTTTTTTAAATGAGGCATAATTTAAAAAACCATTAAATAAATACAGAAGAAACTAAGTCTAGACCTCTGGTTTATCACCTCCTACTGGGTATTTTGCACATTACCTCTCCTAATCAACTTAACAGAGAGCCTGTAAGAAAAATAAAGCCATATTAAGGAAGGCAAATATACGTAATCAGTAAATTAAAACTATTAGGCTTAAAAGTTAATAAGTATCGGGGCCGCCCAGTGGCACAAGCGGTTGGGTGCGCGCACTTCACTTCGGTGGCCCGGGGCTCTCGGGTTCGGATCCCGGGCGCGCACCAATGCACCGCTTGCCAGGCCATGCTGTGGCGGCATCCCATATAAAGTGGAGGAAGATGGGCACAGATGTTAGGTCCGGGCCAATCTTCCTCAGCAGAAAAAAAAAAAAAAAAAAAAAAGAGGAGGATTGACATCAGATGTTAGCTCAGGGCTGATATTCCTCACACACACAAAAACAATTAATAAGTATTACTTTTCCCTTTATTACTGTGCTGAAAGGGTTTTTCAAGCACAAATGTTTCTGACCATAATCTGCTATTTATTTGAATTAAAACACTTGTGTCGGGGCCGGCCCGGTGGCGCAAGCGGTTAAGTGCGCGCGCTCCGCTGCGGCGGCCCGGGGTTCGCTGGTTCGGATCCCGGGCGCGCACCGACGCACTGCT